AATAAAAATCAAATATGATATTATGTAATCGCAGACCCGTGCTTCAAAGATTCGAGCAAATCTTTGAACGTTGCAGCTATTTGGAATTTTTTTTTTTATAACATTTGTACTCTTTGCAAAATCTTTTTATCAAATTTTTCGCCGCAATTGAATGTATATTGTGGATTTGCGTTTAGAGTATTAAAGTAAAAATGCACCACTTACGTTAGCCACCACTTTGTTAAATTATCGGATCGCTTTAGAGATCAATTTTGAAAACCTGTTGCAAGTTTCGCGAATGACAGCGCGTTACAGATCAATTTTCTGTTACAAGCAAAGAATACAGAATCCGAGAAGTTACGGATTCACACACTTCCGTCGGACGGAAATAGACGCGAAATGACACAGTTAAGCATCTGGGTGTCGTTGAAATAAAAGTTGCGGCCATCTGGATACGCGATGTATGGAAAAACAAACTCTCGTCGTTTCGATCTTTTGCGTTTTACGACTCGTTCAAAAGTCGTATCGTAAAGCGAATAATTCGCAAATGCCCGAATATATATATTGGATAAACATGTTGAAGTTTTTTATTTCGTCTGAATTCGCGTCTGATACTGTGGTTAGAAAACGCACACAATTAGTAAATAATTGATAAATTAAAAATAACGGAGATACGTTAATCGTCAAATAAGAACTGTGTAAACTGTAAACTAATTTTATGAAAATATAAATTAATAGATGTATATATTTCATTGTTAAAATTACATTCAATTAGTTTTAATATTGAAATCTCTTTCTTTTTCGTGTAACATTTTTCTCAGGAATACTTACCTTACTATCAAGATTCGTGAAAAGGTTCTCGCCAATCTGTTGAACGGTCGACTAGCGTGGTTTGCTTCCTTTAACCCAAGAATATATAAATATGCTATTTTCAACCCGCGATTATCGCGAGAAAAAGCGACGAACAAGTTCGACTTTTGAGAAGATACCATCACGCGCGCGCGCGTAAAGCAAAATACAGTAAAATTAACTCGTTCATTTGCTTTACAAATACAAATATTTTTTTATATTCCAAAAGTTTTTGCTCGAACACAGAAATGTGTAGTTATAGCAAGAAGTGTTTGCAGCCAATCAGGCATTCACGCAAATATTGGAAATTCAGAAATCGTAGATTTATTTAAATGTAAATACGTTTATTTTTTTTTTTTTTTACTTAAGTGTCATTTTATTTTACCATAATTGGCTATCGGTAAATTTGCGAAGAGAAACGTGAAGATCGGGAAGGAAATCGGGAAGAGCTATAAGTTACACGACAACGCGAAGTGGAAGCGCATTCATAAGGTAAGGTAAGAAGCGACGTCTATTTCCGGATGCGCGCGGCTTCCCAAATATACGCGACTCCACTCTTCTTTACGACGTATATAGTTTCCTCTCCGCGTTTCGTCTCTCCGCCCACCATTTCCACATCCGCGCGCCATTTTAGCGGACTTCGGTCGGTCTCTCACGTTCATTAAGCGGTCTCTGCCACCGCAGACGTATTTAAACAACCGTAATTGCGCGTTTAATTCTTGCGTCTCTTCGTCGCAAAGAGGTAATCCATAAAAGCACGCTGTTATTTGTAAACGTTTTAACTTTCACTCGGTCACATTGTCGTTTTACGTACTCTCTTTTACATGACTTTACGTTAAAATAATACAATTTAAGGATATATATATATATATATTAATATTGATAAAATATTGATAGAGTTATCTAATATATTGCCTCAAATGTACGTATATCCAAATTTTTTTATATTGAATTTTTTTATTCTTCTTCAATTACGTGAATTATTATATGTACACGTATCATCAGATGCCATTTTGTCGGCGCACCGAAGAAACTTTTTCATAAAAATCTGTCTTTGCGAAAAGTACGTCGAACTCATCGAGTAATGTTGATTAAACTGTAGCGCTGGGAAATTTTTCAGGCAACATTCTAGCGAACTCAGCTTATTCCGAGGATCCATCGATGCAATCAGAGACCACGCAGATTTGAAATCTTGCGCGCAAGATTCAACAAAACAGTTAATGTACTGCACATAAAAAAAAAAACAATTTTATATCCGATGTGTAATAATTGAAAAAATTTATTAGAACTAATATATAATAATAATATGTGTTGAGTTATACATGAACAGAAGATAAAGTGCATAAATGAGCATAAAAATATATTGTCTTTGTTTCAAATTATATTTCTAAGGAAACTTAAAAGACATAAGCAAGCAAAAATGGATATTCTTGCGAGGAATTAAAATTCATACCCGCATATCTCTTATTTCTACACGTGTGTTAAATAAGACTATTTTATATAATATATATATGTGTATATATATATATATATATATATATATCAAATTATCATAATTTATACAATTAGATTTAACGAAATAAACTGCGGAGTAAACATGCGGGTTCAGAATTTTAATTTAATTGTCTGCTATTTTATGTATTTTATACCTGCACGGTTCTTAGCCTGTAAATTAACAAAAAAATACACAATTATAATACGTACATATATATATATATATATTAACATATATATATATATTAACATTTGTACTCTTTAGGTATGAGTGGATTGAGGAAGCGGGTGTGTATTCGTGAAATGATCGCCGCGCTCAAATGCTTCTCCTCTCTTGCCATGTTTTTTTTGTCAAAACCGTTTTCTTTATTTTGTAGAAAACTGCGTGATAAGTACACCAATAATCTTGCAATGTCGAAGTGTTTGCCGATTTATATCGGAGGCAGAACGGGACAGGCAGTTCGGACGTACGAACGGACGGGAAAGAAGCTTTTTCGATCCTCGTCAAAGCCATCACCGGTGTCCGAGATCCGAACAACCTTCCCGCCAGACCCGTCATGTGTTACATCGTTTGCTTTTCGTTTCATTTGTTTTTTCTTCTAGCAAGCCAGAGCAGTGAACAACGAACATGTCTTTTTCTTTTTTTTTTTTTTTCCCTATGTGATAGTGTGTGATACGATTCTCTATAGTGTATAAAAAGAACTCTCTTTCATATATATATCTCTCTTTCTCTCGTTCTCTCGCTCGCTCGCTCAATCACTCACTCACTCACTCACTCACTCACGCAATCAACCCGCTCTCCTTCTCGCTCCAGCCATGGTGCGCTCGAACGAACGTGACTCGCATCCGAAATGTGCATTTCGCAAGCGCGACGCGCATCTTCCCGAGTGCGAGCACGAACAATCTTCCTTTTTTTTTTTCCTCCCGTTTCCTTCTCTCGCTTTCTCTCACTCGCTCTCTCGCTCGCTCACTCTTTCTCTTTACTTCTTCTGCGACAAACCACGCGAAAATTTATTTATTTATTTATTTATTTTTTTTTTTTAATTCCCTTCGAGATGAAATTTTCACTCTGTATCTTGATTTTCTTTCGTGTTACTCTTGGTAGAAGCGATCTACTACTTTAAACGACACTGTTCCTACGACATCGATCAATTACTTTGAAAAAAAGGATTTTCCGATTTCCGCTATCTCTTTCTCTCTACTTCATTCTCGCTTGTTCGCTTGCGCGCTTTCGTTCTCTCTTTCTCTTTCTCTCTTTCTTTCTCTCTCTCTCTCTCTCTCTCTCTCACTTTCACTCTCACTCTTTCTCTCTCGCCCGCTCTCGCGCATCGCCACGATTTAACAGTTTGTTGTTTATTACGTAAACTTGTCGAATTGACGCGACAAGTTGTCTTTTTTTTTTTTGTTTTTTTTTTGTTTTTTTTTTTTAATTTCTGTCTTCGTCGCTTCTTATCGCGTTCCCTCCTTTACTTTTCTGCACTCTCTACCTCCGTGTCTCTCACTCAGTCTCCCTTTTCTTTCCACCTTTCTGGCGCTTTTCTGCAACGCACATATTTTCTTCTTTCTCTCTCGGTCTCAAGACTTTTGCAAAACACAAAGGAATTTCATGAAACTCGCTGAGTCTTCTCGTGTTTTGCGAGCGAACCGTTGTGAGAAAGGCAAAAAAATCGGTGAATTGCAGAAGCTCTTCTCATCGGCATGCACAATTGGAGGTAAGGCTGACTTGCAGGACGCAACGCACCTATACGAACAACGGCGAGACACCATCCCTATGGGTTCGTTTGATGAAATCGCTCCAACGGATCCACGCCAGGGATGATTTAAGGGGGAGGAAGAGGTAAGGGAAAAGAAAAATTAGCATCGATTGGTCGAAAGACTCTTGGGATGGATTTCGCGAGAGGGACAATGGCGAAGCTCTCGACCTCCCTTCCACTGCGAGGGACTAGACATACCGATATTATCAACAATACGATATTATAATTATACAGCTTAAAAACAAAAGTTTTAAAATCGCGAGGGGCGTTGTCATTCTCCGACCACCCCTCGGTCTTTGCAACCGCTCCGCTCCGCGTAATTTTGCCGGAGGGAGGACGCGAGTTATTTTGGAACACCTTGGGAAATCACATTACGCCTAAGAGAGAGAGTGTCTTCTTCTCTTCACCGAATGCACCGCGCCGAAAAAGGACTACGGTGTATTATCGGTGTATCGCACACGTCACCCGAACCGGTGGATCGGCGGTCGCGATCATTCCCCGACCGGACGCACGGCTCAACGTGACTAGATTATAATCGGCAGCCGCTTGTTTAATCTCTTCTCGTAATCTTCGTTTTGATCTCGCGACACACACAGCTGCAGATTGTTCGGCCGATCGTTGTATCGTCGTAATTCCAAAAGCCCAGAGAGAGATCAGGGCGGAATTAAAACCGCGAGATTTTTAAAATACGAAAGAAGGACGAGATAATAAATTTTAATCTAATAATCTAATATATTATTCATAATATATAATCTATATATTAATAATATATTAACTCTATAAATTCTATCTTTCTTATTTTAAAACGATGAAAATTGAGTTAATTTTTGCGAAAATGCCTTATTCTCTTATATAGATCTTACGATTTAAAGATCGTTTCAATTCCGATGATCTCCATTTTTTTTTTTTTTCAGTGTTTTTTTGTTTTTATATTCGCTTGTGTTTTTACAATAGGCTTTGAAATGCGACCACGATTTACGATCCGCCGTGGAGTCGGCTGATGCCGTACCAACATTTAAGGCGATTTCAGATCAACACTTAGCGTAGCGATGAGATCGCTGTAATAAATCTTAGTTATGCGAAAACACGATGTTTTACAAGAATTATTTTACTTAAAATTCGCTTAAAGCCGATTATATAATAATAATAATAATAATAATAATAATAATAATAATAATAATAATAATGAACGACATCTAATTTAAATTATAGTTAAATATAAGTCAATTTCAGTTCTTTTAACACTTTTTAACACGAGCTAAGCCTAAACAATTATTTTCTTCACGACATGCAGTTCTTTCTTTCAAATCGCTCAAGATAGCAATCTCGAATGTTGAGCCGTGGATTCAGACAGGTATATCAAAGAGATATTTCGTCTTGGATCGCCTTTATCATTCTTTCTCGTCTTTCTCTCTCTCTCCCTCTCCATCTCTCTCTCTCTCTCTCTTTCTCTCGTGTCGAAAGGCCACGATTATACTCATACGTCTCGCACCTCTCAAAATCCCAATTAACAAATTGCTAATTATATATCACGATGTCCGATAGCAATAATAATAGTAATAGCTTGCTAAAAATTTTACTTTGCCTAAAACTTATCGTCTAAAATATCTCGCGCTCGCGTCGTCGTGTTTTAAATTCAATCTAAATCGACAACGTCGCAAATTCAACCGAAAAACTTGCACAGGACCCATCAAATTATATATGTTTTCATCTCGCATTCATCCCTTTACTGCTCTCAACTCTCCCGAGTGTACCGTTTTCCGTTCATTACAATTTCTCCGTTCCTCAAACACACACACACATATTACTTATTGCATAGAGAAGAAACAAATGCGTACATAAGAGAACGAGACGTGTATGTATAATGAACGGAAAACTGAGTAAATAAGAGAGGACACAGTAACAGAGGTGAGTGAGAAAATGTAATTAAAAAAAAAAAAAAATTAAAAAAATAATCATATCAGACATCTTTACTCCTCGATCGCTTCGCTCCGCACGCGCTAATTTCTTTACATAGAATATGATTAAACTTCATCGCCTAATATTGCATGCGCGTGAACACATTTGAAAGATGAAACAGAAAGATGATATTTCCCTCTCTCGATTCTCAGCACACAGCGATCAATAAACATGAAACGAAACAACGTCGCCGTGCGCGATTTGCCCGGAAACTGGTCTCAAAGATTACAAATTTTACTTTATGTTCTTTTTGCTTATATGAAGAATATTATTTTTCAACGATAATTAGGACCTCTCGCCGTCGAGACGTTACGTCTTTACGCATGTGTTGAACGCCGAATCGTGTGTGTCAAACGGGTGTGACGAAATCGCGCCGCGAATATAGCACGGGCGATATGTATGTGTGTGTTACGGGATGAATTTTCTCAGGGCCGCCCCATCGGCATTTTCCCCTCGGAAAAGAAGCGGAAGCTCGCGAAATTAACGCCAACAAAGTGCACACGTGGAATATTCCGTTCTTACGCGTGGCGTCTTTTTTTTTTTTTTTGTTTGTTTTTGTTTTCTCTTGTCTCGCGCATTCTTCGTATGTCACGCACAATCCGTAAATCACAAAGGGAAACATATAAATTTCATTGCAATTTTCTCTCTGCAGACTCTTAAGAAATACAATAATTGGTGACTTCTCATGAAATAATCGACTCTGATTCGCTCTATCCTTAAATTGAGATTCGAAGTTGACGAAGCGTTTCCACCGATATTGACGCGTATGAATGATCGGCTCAGGGGGTTTAACTTGTGATAGAGTTTTACTTCAAACTTTAAAACTTGCGATAAACAAATACAATATTTCAAAAATAATTTATATAACAACTCGATAGTTATAATATAGCGATGACATAAAATCTTTGATGTCCGCAAATGATACACATATGTCATATTTATTTAATATCACATACAAAATATTGAATGTATCATTCATTGGAGTGATTTAAATTTGTTTGAGTGAGAAACACAAAAACTGAAACGCGTCATCGAACTCGAGTCCTTGTTTGAATAGAACTGATCCTAGTTTGTCAAAACTGAGGCCTTATCTATTTGAATAATAATAAAGATAGCGTCGGACAGTGCGAGCCATTCGGAACGCGGAAGGGTCGCGCATCTTCGTCGATTTAACACTTGCACGCCGTCTTTGCAAAAAAAATCCAAATTATTAGAAATTAAATTAGATTTTTTCTCTAAGAAATGTATAATTTGGAATAAAAATTTTCTACGAACTTTCAAAAATAAAGAAAGAACATTTCAATCCAATGTGTATCCGATCAACGTAATATTTCAAAGAAACAAAAAATATACACATATATGATTGATATGAGAGCTTGTGTCAAGAAAGATGGATATTTTTTGACGGAGGCGTGTGCGCGTCCCATCACAGTTTCGTATGACAGGCCATCTCGTGTTTTTAATGTATGCGTGTTGTAACGTATGTTTGATGTTTTATTTTTAAATCGGTATGTAGCATATCGTTTTTTTTTTTTTTTGTTTAGTTGTAATAAGTATATTGATATTGAACTACCTAGTCTAATATGTACAGAGTTTCCGTTTTCACTCTTGGCACTACATTATCCTCCTATAGCTCTTCACACGCATACACACATGCACGCGCGCGCGCGTTTCGCGCGTTTTCTTTGACTCACTTTTTTTTTTTTCTCTCTCTCCCCCCAACTCTGCAATTAACCGCGCCTGTTGTGCGTTTTTCGTTACTACTCGTTCCGCACACGCGCGCTTGCATTTACTCGTACGCACGCCTGGTCTCGCACTCACGCAACCGAACGAACGATTCGCTCATACAACAACTCATGTACCACATCCGTCCGTTTCTTGTGTTTTCCTTTTTCTCCACAACCACCATTGCGTGAAACCACACACTCCCGTCCGGCCGTCGTGCAGCAGCCGCCCGTCGCGAATAAAATGTTATATCGGCAATAAATAATTTACTAAGTCTTCGTCGCGATAAACATACTTCCGCGGTGTCCGACGATCGAGCCTCCGTCGAGAACTGGAAGAGGATAACCGGCAGATCCGCTTCGTCATCGTGTACCTAGCAATCGTTTCCTCTCTCCGAAGTAAAAGCTTCTCGCCGTGGATGTTCCCGGGGTTGTACGGGGAAACTTCTCGTTCCAAGATAGGCCATCGCTTCGCGTCGCGCGTTGGTAACGCTGTTTTCCACGCTCGGGCTTCGGACCGCCTCCTCTTTTCTGTCCTTGCGTTTCTTCCGGTAGCTTCTTCACGCCGACGTTCGACGCAACATCGTAATCCTCGTGCCACCGCTTTGGAATAATTTGAGATCTAGGTTAGACACTGGCCGCGTGTGGAATTGCACAATGAGACGCGTCGACGAACAACAGCGGCGACGCATCGAACTCCTCCAGTAGGAAAAAAAAGAAGACAGCAGCGAACCAACGCACGGCGATTGAGCGTAAGTCTTGATTCGACTCTTCAATCACTACCAGGAGCCGGCTTCTCTACATCTCCGCCGGCTCTCCTTTAGGCCACGAACGGACGACCTCTCTTTTTTCTTTTTTTTTCTCTCTCACACACGCACACACACACACACACACACACACATATACACACACACACACACACACTCTCTCTCTCTCTCTCTCTCTCACATTATAGAAGAACGTCGGAAAAATGATCCAACGAGGATACCACCGGCCGGGAGGACATTACCTCTCGCGTGTGTGCAATACTCGTTGCTGAACACGATGGGACGCGACCGATGTGATCTATCCTATGTTGAAGCTTCTCCCGTGAGTCAGTCTTGAAGGACATCGTCGTTGCCGTTACAGTCGCACAGAACGATCTTGAGGACCATCGTTTGTCTTCAAGATCGGACGAGGCGGCTGCGACAATGACGACAACGGCGTCGAGGAAGGAGGACGCCGCGGATCAGACCTTCCGATGGAATTGCTGCTCCTGATGTTGCTGTTGCTGCTCTTGCCGGCTTTCGTCGGTCTCACAGGGCACCACGGTGATGTTGGACAGATTGCTACTGCTCAGATTACTGCTCACGTTACTACTGGACTCGGAATAACTGGAAAAGGGCGGTTTGCTGACCGGCGCCGACGTCGACGACGACGTCGCGTGGCTCGGGAACCTTTTGAACACCGAGCGCGCAGTGTTCAGCAACGTGCTGGTGCTGCCGGGGCTCTGACTCCGCGCTATCCGGTCGCCAAACGTGTCGAGCAGCCCCGGATGGAAAGGCTGATTGGGTGGTGGGGTCCGATAAGGCGGAGGGCTCTCGCTATCAAATACCGTGCGATTCGGCGGCGCCCGCACACATTTCTGATAAATCTCGCTCTCCTGAAAATAAGCGAATTTGTTAATATAAGAAACGAAAACTGCTCACTCAGAAGTGATTGATAAAACCGCGAGGGAGAGTAACATTCGCGCTGATATATCAGAGACTCAATGAGAAAACAGAAAATCAATGTAACATCACATCTGTTTATTTTAGGTATAATCAATTGTTTTAAATGTTAAAGTCGCAGTTTAGAATTATTTAAAATATTACAGAACTATATCTTTCTATTTTACCTACTATTTTATACATGTATAAAGTCTCTACAAATGCAAATCTGTAGTACAATATTGCGACGGTTGCAACAACTTTAAAGTGACCCTACAAGCCGACTGAAGTTTAATATTTCTGCTTACGCAACGATGACGGGACGTAATAAGTACTTAAATCTGAAGATTCACGACGTGACAAAAAGCGAATAAATAAATATGTTTTTCGGTCGTTCCCCCGGCCATAAATCATCGGACGGACAAAAGCGTCGCGTCATATCGTCGACACGTTTGCAGAAGTATAGTCGTCAAAGTTACGAATGTAAATAGAACTGTCAGAAATCTATGCGCGGTCATTTGCAATACGCGTATCTGTTTATGGACCGTGACGCGTTGAAAACTTTGTTTATTACACGACTTGGTTTGTTATAGCAACGCTTACCAAGAAAATTAATGATTACAAATTAAAAAATAAAAAATGTACATATAAGGACATATTTTACAATTTTAGAAAAGAACAAAAATGTTCGAGCATCGAACCGAATTTTTCGAATCCGAACGGTTTAACCGCAGGATTTTCTTTGAAACTTTCTTTTTAATGCCGACGGAAACGATGCGAATCTTACCTGTTCCGGGTTGCGAAGGTGAAGATCGGAATGCGCCCCGTACGGGTGTTCCTCGCCATCCGGGAGCTCCAGTCGTGGCGGCAGATTGAGAGCGAGATCCTGTCGAACGCTATCCGAGCGGATTGCGCGATCCCTCGCCGCGGCGACCATCACCTCCTGTATGTCTCTACGTCTTTTGGCATCGCCGCCGCCGCCGACTCCACCACCGCCCACCGCACCGGCCGGGTCATCTTTCGCCGATGCACCGCGTCCGCTGCTGCCGACCTCCATTCCTTGGCTCACCGACAGCATCTGCAAAGTCGACGATCGATTTTACGACTTCGAACAAGATACAGATAAGCATTACAATATATATCGCTGTAAAAAACATTCCGTACCACGCTATAAAATATTTTGATATAAAACACATGATCAGAGTATTTGTAAAAATACAATATTTTGTTGGTTTTTGTTGTGACCATTCCACAATTCTGGAAATTTGAGACGAGAAGAAAATAATAAAAAATACATATATCACATATTTTTAAATATTTCTTCTCTTTAAATATTTTCCATTATATAATTCTATGAGAATTATTTTTTAATGCGCGATCGAATTCAGTTTTCGAAATTGAACTTCTCGATGAACCGAATTCGTTCGATCGTTTTCCTTTGCTTCCAGCGAAAGAATTCCCCGTTCGTTCTTTCGAACACCGTGAATCCGGTTTAAAACATCTGCTCACGCACGCACGCACGCACGCACGCACGCACGCACGCACGCACGCGTACGACTCGTTCGTAAGAGGCGGGTTGAGAAACGTCACGTCGTGACAGTTGGCAGCACCACAGAATGGCGTAGTTTGTGGGTACCTCGAGAGGTAAGACGAAGAAGGTCGTACGAGCTTCAAGTGCCGACGAGCGTACGAGCGGCGAAAGAACGAGGTCGCGTGCAAACGCACTCGAACGATCCGCGTGCTTTGCTTTCCTTTTCGTTCGGCGCGTCTTCGGTGATTTCGCATGTCCGTCCAATTGACCGTAAGATCGAAATAGATCGATCGTACTCGACGACCGTGAAAGTTTTCGTCGCGTGTCCAAGAATATTCCGAATCTCGACATTTATAATCGCGATCATGTATACATTTAAAATTCTTTATTTGTCAGATCTCCTTTTAATGTAGGTTTTAAAGATGCGCTCGAATAAGATTGTTTTTGGAGAAAAAGACGCTTCTTATATATAAATTAAATCTTTATTGCCCTTAATCTAATCATTTATTAAACACGTACATTTTAGCAGAAATAATAAAATTAGAGAGAGAGAGAGAGAGAGAGAAATAAAAAACGGGGAAGAAAGAAAGTCCTGCCTCTCTCTCTCTCTTTCTCTCTCTCCGTTAACATAAAAGTCTAAAATTCTATTCTCCATTAGTTCACTTTGAAGTGCAAGAGTTCCAGACTGCCACCTAGTAGACCGAGGTATTAAGAATGTTTCTACCGATGTGATTTTACGACGACCTGAACGGGCGATTTAACGAGCGAGCGACGATGGGAGTTGTTCTCTTTCGCGAGCATTCGCCGGCACGTGCGAGCGTTAACGACCGACGGGTCGGTCGGTCGCGTTAAAGCTTTAAAGGGGTTTTCAGCACCCCTCCGCTCACGTTCTCGCGGCTCGTCCGAGGCCGTCGAAAGGGAAAGCGGAAGAGGGACGCGGCGGCAGCGGTAGCGGCGGGAACGACGGCGGCGGCGGAGGCGGCGGCGGCGGCTGCGACGACAACAGAGCGAGGGTGTGCAGAGGAGACAGCAACGACAGGAGCGACTGACACACAGAGGGATGAATGTTCGTATGCGTCTCTCGTTGTACCACTGTTATCGATCGCGGCATATAACTCGCAGTGTAACATTACGTTTGCTTGTTACTGGTGTAAAGCATGATTCACATTAGTAAATCCAAATTTTGAGCGAAATCTCTCGAAATATTTGTCACATCGGTGTGATATTTTATTGTTTCTGCCGCGATTAACCCTTTGCGATTCCAATTACTTTCGACGAATTAGACAAATTTCAAAATTAATTTGTACAATTCGCAGCAACATAAAGTATATTAATCACGAGTATTCGCAGTGTTTAAATTAAACGCAACGAATTCTAATTGGTACAAGATTATACAACTTCGCGAAGTAAATTACTTTTCTTGAAGAAGTTGCGAATCGCAGAGAGTACTAAAATACTTACAACGAAGTTCGATTGAAGGTTCGCTAATGTGATTCTTGTCCAATGTTTCGCGAGAATGTCTTATAAATATTTTTAGAATCATGTTCCAGTATATATCGGCGCTGAATACACATATCTCTTTTTCCTGATAACGTCGATACAAAGTCTTATTGTTTCTTCAATTACTCCACCGCGTTCTTTATTCACACTTTATATATATATATGTCTTTTCGCGCAAAATATCAGATTATAAAACCGATATATTTATGTATATTCTCAAATGTTTTCTTTTTTTATTCTCTTTTGCAATTCGTGTTGCTATACCGTGTGTTGCATAACGATTGAATTATTCGCACGGCGACGTTGGCGGAGCGGTGCGGCGAGGCGAGAAGCGCGGATGCAAGCCGGATATGCGAGGATGAACGAGAGAAGATGAAAGAGAGACGAGAGCGCGAGGTCGTTCGGTCGATCGATCGGCGAGATAGCGCCGTTGGCCAGTGAAGAGCAGCGACGAGGTGGCGGCGGCGGCGGCGGCGGCGGCGGCAGCGGCCGCGGCGGTGGCGATGGCGGTGGCGGTGTTCGGCTTGCACCGATGTGCTCGAAAACGTCATAGCGACTCGCAAAAGCTCGAGCACCGGTAGCGTTGTAACGGACTTTATGGCTTCCCGAAGCGCGCCGCTGTTACCTCGGTGGACCATAAAACCATGGTCACACTCTCTCGCAGTTGCGGGCTCACGCTCGATACCACCCGCCGCGCGTTCGTCGCACGAAACGTGACACCCGTCGCCGGAGTCGCGCGATTGAAATTGCAGTTTCAGAGAAAAGGGTAAACTTCGCCGGATCGATCCTCCGCTCCGCGCGCGTATTGTACGCGTTCCCGAGAAACTTACTCCCCCTCCCCCCTTACCCCGGTTTGTTTCTCTCCCGAGGGAGGGTGGACGTCAAAGTCGACAGCGACGACGACGTGGTATTTCGCAAGAGTAACTTCCGACGATACGAAGACTCGACGCGCTTCAGTTATACGCGAGAACGCGACGTAACGTCGCCCGGTATTTATTTTTGTCGTCGTCGCGTCGTTATCGGAACAATGATCGCGCGCGCGTATCGAAATCGAAAGCGAAGAGACACATTCCACGCGCAGTAAACTGATATCGACTGAATGATTATATATAAATAAAACAATGAACTCTTTTTTAATGGCTTTTTATTTCATGTGTTAATATTAAAAAAACAAAAAAAAAAAGAAAGCTTTTGTTTCTCTGGAAAAAAAAAGAGAAACGTATTTTTCTATCTGTGCGTGAAAAATATTTGCGCAATATAAATATGAAATACGTGATACGCCGATAGAAATTTTTTTATCCTGTTTTTTTCTTTCCGCTGACCGCGTGAAAATGTTTTTTATCGAAGAGACGCGCGCACCACAAATATTTTCTTTCACAGAAGACAACATTTAAGAAAAAAAAAAAATATTTGCGATGCTACCTACACCGTTCGATCAATGTCTCGCCTCGAAGCCGCCGACAAACAACGATTAAAATATACGCCAGCCAATCGCACGTCGTCGATAAAACGTGTATAATTTTTGACGTCGCCTCGCATCGCTTTTAGATTACACAATTTCTGCGTCGTCGTCGCCTTAACCTTGTCTTCACGGTAAATATTGTGTTCAACGGGAGAGTGCATACGCATCCCGTCTTCAAACATTTCGGTGCATATGAAATACGAGCGGTATATTTCAAATGTACCTTGATACACCTGCGCAAATCATAAAACCGCATCCTTAGATGCGTGAAAATATTGAAAATTAATAACATTCATAAACAATTTAGATTCTATTTCTCAGAAAAATCATAACAATATCTCAAAAAAATATACCCGTAAGAGGTTTTGGATTTCGATCCGTTTCACCCGTTAGAAAGAAAAAAGTAAATAAATAAGTAAATTGAAATTCCCGAGAGATGCGTCGCGTCTTTCGTCGATCTTTCTTTTTTTTTTTTTTCACGAATGCCGGGAGCTAAAATTGAAGCTCACCCGTATTCTTTTCGCGCGTGTCGCGTTTGTACACACACAAAGAAAGAGAGAGAGAGAGAGACGCTTTTCCTTCGAAAGAGCTTCCGTTGGCTTATACCTATCTCGATCGATTCCGCGCGCATCGCGCAGACATCTCTTTTACGATTCCGACGGACGGATAGTGATCCGACGATAACAAGCTGGAAACGCCGCTCGTAAGTCTTCCTGCTACCTGTTCGTCACGATCGCATCGCACAAATCGGATCCGATGTGATTACATTTGTTCTTGTTTACAAATGGTGTCGCACGCCGTGTATTTACCTATTTCACGGATGCGCGATAACGATTTCACATCATATTCGCCCTCGTCTCAGCAACTTAATTGATAATCAAATAATGTTTTTTTGGACATATAGAATCTCTGCGGTATATCTCGCGGACATTCAAACTTGCAAGTTGCAAAATTTTAAAATCAATTGTTTCCCTGTCGGAATAATTGTTAATATCACATGTACGTGCTTTAACAATGGAATGAAAAAATAACGATTTTATTTCATCAAGAACTGTTATTTTCTTATTAAAAAATGCGACTCTTTTTCTCTGCGATCTCTTTAAGAATTTGTCATTTTCAACATTCTCTTGTGTCGTTCTTTCGTCTTCATCGTTGTCGTCGTCGTCGTCGTCGTTTGGTAAAACGTATCGATCGAGAGAACGTACCACCCCGCATGAGGGCAATGCACCGGGGATACATCATGCACACGCTGTAAAGCGCTGCAACTATACTTTCGCAGCACCTGCTACAACTTTGCGCGCGTAAAGGTCGTTCTAAAAAAAAATTCTTCCAGCTCGAGAAACATCGATTTCCGAACGTCATACAGCGAGAAATTCCATTTCGCGTGTGAACTGAAAGAGCTAACGATTTTATGTAACGTTGCGCTTGGTTCACGTATTTTTTTTTCTTTTTTTTTTTTTTTTTTACAAAAAATATCCCCGCATTAAATGCTCGCGCGAATAAGAATTTTTTTCCAATGTAAATAAATTCACGCTGTGACATTCGCGGTGTGATTTTATGTTACGAGATATAAAACGCACGTAAA